GGGGAATTCTGGGAGTTGAAGTCCACACGTCTTCAAGTTGCCAAGGTTGAGAAACACTGCTATAACTGTTTGGAATGAGAAGAACGATGGGACACCAGATCTTGTGCCCATCAGCTGAACTAATCCAGTCAGTGGACATTTAAGCAGGTATTCTAAAGCAGAACTTTAAAAAAAACAAAAAACAGGTTCAAATAGATTATGGTTGTTTTTGGAAATAAACTCTCCAAATCAAGCTTGATTCCTGGTGACTTGATGGAAACATCCAAGTAATTTCTTAATCATTCCTCTGCTGCCCTTTGGAATTTTTTTTTAAAAACTTCCCATTCCAGCCTACAGGCCTGGGATTTCTTGATAGTATCCCCTCCAAGTACTAACCAGGCTTGATCCTGCTTAGCTTCTGAGCCCTGGCTGGCCAGGTACTTCCAGCTGCTTACAACAAGGTAGCTCTCTGATCTGGACAGATACCCTCTGGAATGAGACAATGGGTGGCATATAAATTTAATTATTAATAATAATAATTATTATTACACTTTTTACAGCATTGCCCTATTGTCATACAGTACATTCTGCTGAAGCTCCTCTGAAATCAGTCACTGAAGGTGGAAACAGTACAAAATGGCAGAGTATCTATTTTGCCTGCAGAAGACATTGTCTTTGATTGCTGGAATCTCCCTACAGAACTGGAAAAAAGTCCTGCCTGAATATTGCTGGCTAAAAACAAACATCAACCCTCCCTATCTGGATCTCAATTTTTCTGGATTAAATTCGATGAAATTCCCCTGTCCTCAACAGCACCACCTGAAGTAGGAAGCTGCATTTTGCAGCCTGGCCGGTCCTAGGAATGCACATTTAGATCCTTGTGAAATTCAAAATTTAAAATTGCAGTGTTAAAAGATTTAAGAAAGGGGCACGTGTATGCATCTGTGTGAGAGCGATTGAATCTTACGGAATCTAAAGGCATTTACTTATTGCAGCCTAAACATTCACAGACTGAAGTCCAACTTATTACTTGAAACTATTTCTTTTGAGGAGGAAGGCAATTTAAAAATGTTATGTCGTTTGAATTTCCTTGAAGGGCAGCCTTAATAGGTAAGGAACTAGATGTTGCTGAGTAATGTACATGCCAGTTGCAACTGAGCGCTTCAGACTATTATGGTATCTTTGCATCAACCAGATGCTGTTAAAGAATATACACAAAAATACACAAAATAATGTCTCCTAAGATGGTCTTTTGGAAAGATGTGTACCAGCAGGAAAGTGGGTACAAGTATTAAGAAAAGGAGACTCCTATTTGCATAAAATTCAAATATGCTAATTTGCCTACATGGTTGTAGACTTAGAAATAAGAGCTGTGATTTAAATGGAAAGGCATGATATGTTGCAAAAGTGGAGAACGCTGCAATCAGTTGTATACCTGCACAGTCCAGGTGCTAAGGTCAGTGGGGAACTTCAAGACCCATGTTGCTTTCTTTCCTTTTGATCCTTTATCTTCCCACTGAATTTTCCATAGAACTGCTTTCAAATATGGCAGCTCTCCCAATCTGGTGCCCTCCAGATGTGTTAAGACTCCAACTCTCAGTTCTTCTAGACATCTGGGAAAGCTGGGGATGGCAGTTCAAACACCTGGAGGCCACCAATTCAGTGAAGGCTTATTCTCCTCTGTAATGTTAATCTCTCTCATCTGTTATGTGTGCTGCCCAGCCAGAATTCAACATTCACTGTTTTCCCTCAGAATGGGCATCACAGAATTAAAAGGTGGACTGAGCCAACAACTGCCCAGTCGCTGGGAGATGTACAAATTTAATTAACAACTGTACTGGTGTTGTTATTAGGATCAATTTTATATATAAAAAGCAAGGATCTTCCTATATACATGCACAGAATCATAAATATGTGGAAAGGCCTTGGAGGATTTCTATTCCAACCACTTTCTTTGATGCAAGAAATCCATAGCACCAGAGATGGGAAACTTCAGGCCCTCCAAATGTTGTACTACATATACCAGCAGCCCCAGCTGAGAAAACCAGTGGGGAGGAATAATGGGAGCTGCAGTTCTGCAATATCTGGAGGACCATGGATTGCCCAACTGAGTTCTAGCATCCAGGACAGAGAATTGTCCAGACTTTGAAGGCCTCCAGCAAGGAGAGCCAATCATTCTTCTAGGCAAGTTTCTAGGCCAAACTACTTTTAGCATCAAGACCTTTCTCTAAGATTCAACTCAGATGTGTCCATCTGTAATTTATGCCCATCAGTTCTGGAACAGCAGATAGCACGTCTCTGTCCTCTTCTAGAGGACAGCATTTCCAATCCAAAGTATACTTCTCTGCCTCTTCCCACATTTTATAATTCATAATGCTGTCATCCAATAAATCCAAACAGTTGGGGCACCGGCTATTAGCAGCAGACCCAAATGTTTTGAAAAGGTTCACCAAAGATCCAATGTGTCCACTAGATCCAACACAGACTCTAAAATGGGGTGTTGGCTGGCTATAAAATCCATCAAGCCCATCCTTAATCCTGCCAAGACTTTTTTTTTTGGCCTTTGCTAATAGTTTTCTCACTTACCCAGTCCAGCCACTTAATTGGCTGCATTTAACAAAGCCAAGCAGTGGAAAGAATAAATACATAAATCCAGATCTTGCCTGCCAAGCAAGAGAAGACAATGGCCACCAAGACATGCTTCATTTCTTTTGGGTGGAATTAGGGGATTTATTTCTGCATGTCATGAAATCACGTACCCACCGTTGCAACTTCTCATTCCATTCTAATCACATTAAATACAACTGGCACCATATCAATCATCTGCCATACAAACTTAAAATTTCCAGCTACCTATCCCTACCTTTCATTATTGGGCATGGAACAATGATGCGGGCAACATTTTCTTTAATTGATCGGTTAAGAATTTGAAAGTTATTTAAGAGTCGTATGAAACAATTGACAGTATGACTCAGCTTGCATCCTCAAATCTGTCTACTTGAAAGCTGATTTCCCTGGATTCAGTGGGGATGACTCTCTAGTAAACATGTTCAGGATTGCAGCTTCAGTTGTATGTGCAATGACAAACTCGTTTCTGGACTGCAGCATTTCAGCTGTGTGGAGACTTCACAGGTACCATAAGATAAATTCCATATATAATAAAAAATTCCTGCGTATCAAAACAAGTGTAGTAGGAAGAATTGTGGAATCTGCTGCCAGCAGCTGTGTTTATGGCAGCCGATCTGTACGGCTATAAAAGATTTTAAAAGAGGGTGCGATGGATTCATGGAGGTTCAGACTATCAATGGCTATTAATACCATTGTGAAACCTCATTTTAACTGATTAACTAGGGGAGAGGTAGTTGTTATTCCTGAAAGTCCACTGAATCAAAGTGTATCATTTGCATAATGTCATCATTATGCAAATGACACAAATTGCAGCAGAATTTGGTGTGTTGCATGCAAAGTCTGGAAAATCAAGGTTTTACTGTATAATGACTTTTACTAGGCAATAAGCCTTACATGCTGCTTGCTGGGAAGCAACAATGACAGGGATCTTTCAGCCTTCAATTGAAGCTTGCAGTTCCCTTAAATCAGTGTTGTCCAAACTTGGCCACTTTTAAGATGAGTGGACTTGAACTCCCAGAATTCCCCAGCCAGCCATGCTGGCTGGGGGATTTTTTGAGGTCAAAAACACTCCTCTTTAACAGGCGAAGCTTTGTCAACACTGCCATTAATGCATTCACGCAGCCCCTTTAGTCAGAGTGG